CCATCAGACTCTGAGACCCTCTGAAGGGAACAGTAAGCATAAATGATACTAAGCAAACTATAGAGAGGCACACAAGAAAAAAAGCTCTGCAGATGTGAGGGCTAGTTGGCAACAGAAAGAATGCCATTGGCACAAGATTCCTCAAAAACTCAAATGTGTAGGTGTTTGAATTTGCAGCATGCTACCTGCACAGCCAAGCCAGCATTTATTTCAGCACCAGCTTCTCCCATACTGCTATACATAGATGAGAGTTTCAGAAGGATTCCCCACTCTTTGTTTTCTCTTGGAATCAAGCATGGAAATTCATGGTTGCTGATCTGATGGTTAAGGAGTGGGTACTACCAGCTGGAATGTTGCCACTGGCAGGGCAGACAGGAAAATAGGAATGCTCTTAATGAAAAAGAAAACCTTTGATGGACAAAAGAGTAGTTGTATTTTTACCCTCTCCCTTCATGCTGCCAGGCATCTTTAAATAGATCCTCTAGCCTAGGGACTTGTATGGAATAATTCATATTAAAACCCAAGAAGTGGCAGAGGAGGGGAGTTGGTTCTTTCTTCTCTTTCTTTTCTTTCCTTTTTTTCTTCTTGTCAAGCTAACAGGAAAAGACTCATTTTAATTCAACTGTGTTATTTTTTTTTCTTTGGGTCTTTTAATGAACTTTATCTAATTCAGAAAGACTACCAAAGCTCTTAGGGAAATAAAAGTAATAGGAAGCTGCATTGTAGATTGCTCTTTAATACCTTTTGGTCCCAAGGACATTAGCAGCATCTTTTAAAGATGCTGCACAGAGGAGGTTGCATGAGGCTCTTAAATGGGAATGTCTAATTGAAAAGTCCAGTTCTTTCCATTTGCAACTCATAAACCAATCCGTTGTTCTGTGTTAAAAGAAGAAAAAAAAAAAACTAGAAAAACTCCTCCCTGTCTCCCCAGCCCCATGCATTTTTAGTTCAGCTTAACCCAAGATCCATTTCTACCCTCTCCCTTTTACCAAATGGGTTTCATAAAGACATTTAGGCACATGTTAGTCAAATTAAAAGTCCTGTTTCTCTTTCTTTTTCCTTAGTAAGAGAAGAATGTGGGAAGGACGGAGAAAGGGGGCAAGGCAGGGCCTAAGGATCCAAGGAGCTTTGTTTCAAGTCTCTTGTCTCTTCCTCTGAAAGAGAGAATAACCAATTTTTTCTTAATGTAGGCCTAAGTGCATCCAGGCATTCCCATAGCACTCCCACCCCCAGCCCTTTGCCGGAGATGTGCGGGTCACTGTGATGGTATGCTTGTCCCTGCCAGCCCGGGTCACTCCAGCCCTGCTCTCAGCAGCCTAAAGGGCAGCTGAGCCATGAGGCTGCTCCTCTCTCTGAGTGGGTTAAGGGTCAGGGATCCAAAAGCCCCCCAATTTTATCAGTCCAGCAGAGCTACTGCCAAGAATGACATCCTGGGAATACTATGGAGATGGGGAGACCTCAAGGAACAGGACCCAGGCTGTCAGGAAAACAGGCAGAGCAAAGAGTAATCTCACAATGAAAGGAGCTCAGGGGAAGGGAAAAGGGGGCAGGGTGGGGGTGGTGGAGAGCAAAAGAAAAGAAAGTCCACATGCCACCCAGGATGATTCCAGAAAGGGCTGGAGGAGGACTTGTAGGAAACAAGTACCCAGACATGGCACTGCCAGTCTAGCTGGATTCTTTTCTGAATTAGATTATGCGAAAGAAAGAGGGGAAATATATAGCCTGCCAGCTGTTCAAAGGCTTACAACCTTGCTTTTATTGTCCGGGTAAGTTGGTGAGGTGGGGCATCAGAGGAATTCCAAACATACCATCCAAGAAAAATTTTAATATGTTCCACAGTGTCATATACAAAGAGGAAATGACAGCTGATCAGAGCCATGGCAGGCCACAGAAATCTGGGCCCTGGAGCTCATCCACCCTAACATGGCCCAACTTCCTTCTGCTTTAGCATTTCTCAGTCCTTCCACCTGGCTCCCGATCCTTTCTGCTCCCAGTGGCCGAGCCAAGAGGCCTGAACAAAGTAGCACTAACTGACTTGTCATGGGAAGAGGTGAGGGTAGGCTAGAAGGTTGCTGGCCAAGAAGCTGAGGGCTGGCTAGGGTGAGTCAGGCACCACAGGGATTCAGAGGCACTTTATCTACCTGCTGGGTGTAGGGGGGGGTATCATCTGCTGATAAGGACCAAATCAAGGACCCTAGTGATGCTGTCTTCAGTATTTTTGCTAGTATCCTACCTGTGTCAAAAAACAAAAGACTTGATTATTTGAAAGCAACATTGTATGGTTCTGATGGAGACCTAGGTTTGGAGAACAACTTCTGGCAACTTTTTTCCAGGGGCCTGTTGAATTTAGGTCAGGCCCAGAGGTCATTGATTTTGATCCTGGAAGTTGGACAAGTAAGTGGTGGCAGATAGTGACTGCATCTTCACCTGTACATGTTTCTAATTCAATGATTCATTAAGGGCCCCTGATGTCAGCTTCTGAGTAGATTTCAGATAAAGACAATATGTGACCCTTTATAAAGGGTGCTCAAGAGAGCAGAGAAAAGTTAAACTGCTCTTTTCCCACTTTCTTCTACATATGCAGGAAAGATCCAGGCCATGATAGCTATGCAAGTAACTTGTACCCAGGATCTGCTGATAAGGGTCCAACAGGAACCCCTTAATCATAAATGAAAAGAAAACCCATTGATAAGTGGCAATCATTTCAAGTAAATCAGAATAATAAATATTTTAAATGATTTATTATAATGAGGTCATTGCCCAGTTTACCCATTGGCAAAGCCCATTTCAGTTCCAAAATCTAACTGGAGATAACATATAGACTGAGAATGAGGGCATGGGACAATGTCTCACCCATCTTTGCACCCATAACACCTAGCATAATTCATTAAAAAATGATGGAATGAATAATTAACCAATAAGAATAATAGTACTTGAATTGTTCTTGTAGTGGACTAAAATTGCGACCACCACTGGTGGCTATAATTCTAAGAAACTCACCACATTTTTCAAGGGCCCAGGAAAATAAATGAGTTGGAAATTGTTAAATGTATTGAAAAATGATTAATATTCCCCTTGACAGTGTTGTTGGAACTCGAATTAAGATTGAAAACTCCATAGGCGTGTTTCCATCTGTGGGTGTTAACTGCTTGGTACACAGTCATCAAGAAGGCCTCAAACAGTTTCCCTTCACCTGAACTAAATGTATTTTAAAGTAAATGACTCAAAACATTGTATTTTGTGTTCAGACACTCTTATGTGATAATCTGAATAATAATTTAAGAAAATTGTTTTGATTCAGCTAAATGCCTTAACAGCAGCACTTTTAAAGAAAATCACTAAAATTGTATAGCAATAGAATCCATAGCATCATTAAAGGCTTTCTCAAACAGTGAATACCCCAAAGTTGTAAATTAACTCATTCAAAAGCCATATTTTCTTTTAATAATGCCTGCTAAGCTATTTATTAGAGAAAATCAGAAAGGTTCTCCATAGATCATGTCTCTGCTCCACACTGGACATTGGTTGATAGAACCTTAAAGTTATTTTCAGAAGCCAAACTAGTGAGGAGAAAATGGGTAGATGTTTGCTTTTGGTCTAAACACACAATCAAAAAGCATTCTGCAGTCCCCCACCGTATTTTGTTGACACCCAGAACCAACACTGCATTTTAGGCATCTCTATGTTTTCAAATGCACCTGGTATTTAATACTATATGTTGGAGCAGTTTGCCAATACCAGGTCATTGTAATTGAAATATACTAATAATATTATGACTGAAAACAGGCATTTTTCACAGCATCCATATTTGTTATTAATAACAAATAACAGTTGCAAAGAATAGAACATGGAACTCTCATCCTGCCAAATATCCCCCAAACCACCCTGCCTCCCAGCACCTGAATCTCAGTAGGGAAGAGAATCTGCCTCTTTTATGTGGGTTTATCTAGGCTCCTTGATTACAAAGAGCCTCATTTACAGGACATTCTGAGTCATTAACATTCTGTACACATTCAAACTTCCCGTCCCCCAAGAAAGAGTTATGTTCAGGCCTCCTAAAGCCCAATTGTTCCCTCAAACAGAGAACTTATATTCAGGAGATTAAAAGAACCCTCTGAATATTCCTCAGGTAGGAGTCATTCCAATAGGTCCTAGTCCTTGTGCTGATGACAGCATCCTTTCCCTGTCACACTACTTAGACAGTGTAGCATCGGTCCTGCTGCAGGGACAAGCAGACTACTAAAAATAACCCTTTGCAATAAGGCCAAGGCAAACAGCATGCATTTCCTCAGAATTTTTGCCCAATCAAAATCATATAGTAAATCCATCCTCCTCTCTTGTCAGTCAGTACTCCTGGCTGCATTTATGGAAGCAAAGTACTTGCACTTTGGGAGAAGAGTGCAAAAGGAACAGAATCCTGCAAAGCATGACACAGAAAGCTAGAAGTAAATATTGCCTATTGTTTGAAGTCATTCTAACCACTCTGGGAGAGCCCTGGCAGGAGATCAGCAGCATATATAAAGTAGTAATAAAAGTAAACAGTGTGCGTTTAAACTCAGAGGTTTGCCAGCGTTAATAGTGTCCCCATTGTAAGAGGGATGAGGACAGTGGGGAAGATACTGGGGAATCGGGAATCCATGTCCCCAAGTTGTTGCTTCTCAGTCTCCTTTCACATGGTCAAATATAAGAACCATTACAAAGTTACATCCAACTACGCAGAGAGTTTCAAAATCAAATCTCTTTAAGTCCAACCAAAAGAGATTTTTCTAACCTCTCTGTCAGGCTCCCCTGCTCTGTCACAGACGTAAAAGACCCGTTTAAACCACACACACATACACACACAATGCTAGCATGCCACAGATCAATGCAAATTAAACTAAATTAATGCAAATTTAAGTGGTATTTAAAGGTTGTCTCTTTGTCTGAGAGGAGGGTGAAATGCTCCGTTTGGAAAGAAGTAATTTCCTAGGCAAGCCGTCAGCGCTTGTTTTCCTGCTTACCTTAGGGGAAACGTAGGGCTCCTTTCTTTTCAGACTTTTCTGAGAGCTAGAAAGAGGTCCTGTTACTTCCAAATGCTTTTGTTCTTCTGTCCCTCTGTCACATGGCTTGCCTTTTATATTTGCAACACACAAAAGTTAGGACTGTTGTTTAAGCGACACAGGGAGAGAGAGAGAGAGAAAGGGAAAGAGAGAGAGAATGTCAAATGGAAAAGTGCCATTGCAGTCATATATCAATCAGGCGTGCGGCCGCAGCAGCGCACTAGCAAATGGAAATGCCAGGGAAATGTGAGGCGCTTGTTATCGGGGATTCACAGCCACTGCCTACCGCTTGGCTCTCTTCCATGGAGCATCTTGCGATGGGAACAACATAGAACAAGGGCAAGGAAGTTTCTCCTGGGGTGGGGGGCGGACATTAAGGAAATAATGTGGGGATAAATGAATATTTTGGATTTAATTCTTTGTCGAGCATGTGACTGCCATAAAGATGTGCAGTACGCAATAAAGACATAGTTTCAGAAATACAAAGCCAAAGTGGCATTCTGTTTAACAATTCAGCAGCTGAATGAGACAAAGTTGAAATTCTAAGAGAGAAGGATGGGAATAAGAACTACTTCTCAGACGACGATGTTGAAGCAAGTGCAAAACACTGCCCTATTTTATGATGTGTGTGGGTGGTGGGAGTTGTTCATCCATTAAATGATTTTTAGCAGTGTATCCATGATTAAATCCACAATTGCACTTTAATAAGTGCCTTCATCTGTGTCATTTAGAATAAAATTTTAGATCCTATTTAGACATAATGAGAAAGTATAATCCTTGATTCCTTGAGATACGGGAGTGTGAAAAGAATAAATAAGGCCAATCCACCATACCACAACTAGTAGAAAAATGGCAAAGGTGACTATGTGTGTAGGCTAAGCACTTGCTAGCTGGATAAAAATTATGAGCTGTGGGAATACAAAGGGAAATATTTCATAATTCTTGCCCTTAAAAAGCTTGAAATTATGACAGGAAACCATCAGCAATGTTTGTAGAAAACACAAAGAATTATTTAAACATTTACAAATTTTTATGTTAGATGGACCCAGCTCCAGAATAATTTTTATGAACAATGAAGAATTAAACTGAGAATATTAATTAATAATATTTTGCATAATAGTAAATAACACTTAAAAAGAAATTTTTCTTGGGAGCTCCATATAATTGTTGATGCTGAAACTTTCATGTTTGATTGTATCACATCATGTATTATTCATTAATAAATTGATAATCACATTATTACTTTTCTGCAGAATCTTTACTCCCAACTGTCACTGATATTTACAGGAGGTGTCTTGAAATTTTCAGGTTTACCTCTATCCTTTAATAAGAATTCCTCTTTCTTTTGGTCTACCAGTAAAACTCTGTCTACTTGGAACCAGCAAGTCACAAGCAGAATCCACCCACAAGTACAAAAGATAAATGACAAGTTCAAAGCCTTCAAAGAAAACCTGACAGTTGGCCCATAATGATACTGGCTAAATGTCTTAAAAGCAGAAGATCAAAAAGCAAATGGAAATTGGGCCTTAAAAGTGGAAATAATCTGAAAGGGGAAATGACTTATAGCTGAGTAAGAGGCATGGAAATAGTCATGAACACATTTTCTGGCTCAATATTATGGGTCAGATTGGGAGGGAAGATAAACTCTTTGGCCACCAACATTTTCAAATATCAGAGCTTGACATCCACCCACCTATTCATTTCTCTTACTAAATAATTTGTGGCTTTCCCGATGTATGCTTAACACTCCACCTTGCTATCTTTTTCCTATGTATTCTCAAAGTCATTCTATCTGCTCTGAAGTAACATGAAAAGGTGTGGTTCTTCCTGATTGGAATTTTCCAGCCTCCTAAAATCTAAGCTTCTGCAAGAGCACCAAAGAAAGTGTAAAGATTTCAAACACATTGACTACATGGCTACAAGACAGTGTTTCTCCCAGATGGAGCCCTGCTGTTTCCTCCAGCCATTATTCTGTCAGGGGTGGTGGAGAATACCATCTGCTGCCCCTTTCAAGAGGGAGGCTTTGCCTCTACCCATTGGGCTCCAGAGAACCTGTTGCTCAGTCTATCAATAGGTATCTGGCATCAACAACTCTTTTCATCACATTATCATGCTTTTTAGAAAGGTCACTGTCCACACATAGTAACTTTACTGGCCATCAATTAATGTTGCTGAGAAAGAAGGGATTTCTTTACATTTTTATCTACACAAAGAGGGATGAAAATACTCCTGTTGTCATTTCATATGCACTCAGGGTGGGAAAAGTTTGGAGAAGAAGATGTCCATTATCTGGATGGAAAATTCCTTAAGGAACTACTTCTGGACCTTTTATTTCTGGTACAGTTTTCAGGTTGCCTCTCTCTTTCTTGCTAGCTCTATTGGTTATTTACAGGAGTTGCCCAGCATCCAAACACCCATGAAGGTATAGGTAATCCCAAAGCAGGTAGGAGGTAGAACCTGCCTCCTCCCTGCAGAAATTATAAGGAGCAGATCTTTGCCCTCCCCTCTTCAGGGCAGCTAGAAAACCAGGTATGACAAAGCCTGGCTCACCAGATGTGCCATCTTGAATGAGTGGCCAAGGCATGCAGACATTCAGAGGTTATTTGCTATGGTCACAGTGGAATCAAGAGCCCAGGAGTTATAGCAGCCAATGCTGAGGGTAACAGAGCCTACCTCTGTGACAGTGGATGATCTGGAAAGACAGGGTCTATCTATGACAACATCCTTAGCAATCTGACCTTTATGGCTGCATCCGTGCTTGCCACCATTTTAGGAGCCTGGATCTCCAGCTTTCCTGGTAATTCTGTGAACTGTCCCTATCACCAAACCCACCAAAATCCTGCCAGTAAGTTCCTTTCTGTATAATTAGCTAGAGACAGTTTTTGAGGTTGGCAACCAGGAGTTTTGACCTGAACACTGTATTTTCCAAAGTTAGGCAAATTAAAATCATTAACATACAAATGAAAATGTAGCCTCTACTTGTCCTAGCTACTTTTCCAAGTGGTTTCAGATACATTGTCAGTCTGTTTCAGTATCTGCCGTAACATTTTGAAAGTAGAGAATTCCTACATAAATATATAAGAAGATCCATGTTTTCATACACATATAAGAACTTATCAAGATACTCACTAAAAGCTAATAATATTTGTCATCATATCTATGTGGCTACAGATAGCTGTGTGTGTGTGTGTGTGTGTGTGTGTGTGTGTGTGTGTGTGTAAAATCCCAACCTACCAGCATGGTCTGTTAGGTATGATTTACAATTATTTATGAGAATACTAATATTTATTATCTAGAGGAATATTATAGCATTTATTCAAAAATACCTGAAATAATAGCAACTATTTAATGTGTGTTTACTCTCTGCTGAGCTCTATGCCAAATATTCTACATGCATTATCTCTTTTACAGACAGACACAATATCCTATACAGTAGATATTGTTTGTTATTCTCTGTTTTACAAAAAAGAAAAAGAAAGGAAGGAAGGAAGGAAGGAAGGAAAGAAGGAAGGAAGGAGGAAAGAAAGAAAGAAACTTAGGCTCTGAGAGGTAGGTGATTTCCCTATGGTTGACACAGGAAGAAAATAGAAAATATGATCTCTGGTTTTCCTATCTCCAAAAGGACAAGGCTTAGCCTGTATGCCATGCTGCCCCCATTCAACAAAAATTTACTGAGCAGTGCTTTTATGATAATGTTATTCGTAAGAAATACAAATAAAAGCAGGACATCAATGCAGTTCTTAAGGTGTTAGTGATATTGTAGGCAAGAGTGAAATGCTTGCTTATGAAGACACAGCCAGATAGAATGTGATCAAGGTCACAAGAAAAGCAAAATATATAGTGAGATCAAAGGTGGTACAGTTCTGGTCAAGATGGCAGAGTAGTTGGACAGAGCATTCACCTCCTCCCATAACCACATCAAAATTACAACTAAATTTTTCAGTTTTATATCATACATGAATAAAATCATATAGTTCTTGATTTTTTCTCTCTGACTTATTTTGCTTAGCATGATATATAAAACTGAAAGCAACAAATGAATAAACAAGGAGTACAAACAAAAACTCAGGCACAGTCAACAGTATGGTGGTAACCAGAAAGAAGTGGGGTAAAGGATAGTGAAGAGTAAAGGGAGTCAAATATATGGTGACAGGAGGAGATTTGACTTTGGGTGATGGACACACAAAGCAATATACAGACAATTTATCATAGAATTGTATACTTGAAACCTAAATAATTTTATCAATTAATGTCACCCCAGTGTATTTAATGAAAAACAATGTCTGTATCACTGTGATATGGTGTTAAATAAACTTTGTTTTTCCTTGGTAAAAAAATTTTCAACAAAATTATAGAACAATAAATCTGAATAACCATCTGAAGAATAGCGAAACAGAGCCTTATAACTAGGGATTAGAGAGACTGGTAGGAGGGGCAGAAATATGAAACAGCTGGCCCTGAACCCATTTGTAGTGGTTGAGAATCTGGAGGGATATCTCAGCTGCAGAGGTTCCCCCAAGAAGCGAGGGGTCTCAGCCCCATGCCAGTGCCAGGAAGAAGAGCCCACATAATATCTGACTGTAAAAATAAGTGGGAATTCTGCCTATCTGGGTAACACAGAAGGCTACTGAAAACCAAACCATCCTATTAAGTGGGAACTGCACAAACTCTCTCTTGCAGGCATTCATCTTGGGCTCCAATGGAGAGACCACAGGGTGGGGGCACCAGAGACATACAGGGAGAAACTGAGTGGTGTGGCTTCAGGGCAAAGATTGAAGGGATGGCTGCAAATGTCCTTGTGTTGAGCTTTCCTCTCCTGTAGCCACATCTGAATCTACATTAGCCTAGTGAACTCCATTAGTTCCAACCTGTTGACTCCCTGAGATCCTGCTTTACCTAATTAGAGTAGGGTCCAAGGTTCTTTCAGTTGAAACCAGCCTGGTCACATATTGCAATCTTCTTTAAAAATTCTTGAGGCATTCTGATCAAGCTGAAGTCTGAGAGAGTAGAGGCATACAAAGGAAACTGAGTTACTTGGCTTCAGGGCAAGGTATGGAAGGGTAGCCACCATTGTCCCTGTAATGAGCCCTCCATCCACACAACCAAATATGAATCTCTATCAGCCTGATGAAATACACTAGCTTTACCTTGAT